ATTTTTTCTAGCATGGTCCAATATTGAAACCCAACATTGGCCCGACTTTGTTTGACATTATATAACCGATATTGGAAATCCGCATTGGCCCGAAGTTGTTTTACATTATATTCATAAAAGTTGAGGGAGAAATTGAAAGAAAAAAAAGATAGCCACCTACTTCCAATAGGATTTCTTAAAGTGATATGTCACGATCGTGTCGACAAACGTTTGTTTTCAGGAAATGTTGATGGTAGGTACTTAGGGGCGTAAAAGCGGGGGGGGGGGGGCGGTTGACAATGCCCACCCAAATGATAAGGGGGAAAGGGGGGTTACTTGATATAAAATGTACCCTCCAAATTCTTTGAAAAAATCTACCAATAAGTCGTGTACCGTCTATTACGATGAAATGCTAAAATCGTTTGTATCGTGTGCTGAAATGATCAGCTTAAGCTTTATTAACTTAATAACGAATTTTATTGCTAATAAGAAATCGTGTGTCGTTCCATATCACTTTTAGAAATTCGAAAGCATCGTTGACTATATATAGTTAATAATATATGGCGTAAAATAATATGCCAATATAGGGCTAACATCGGCTAAATAAATCCAATATTGGCCCCAGATAAAATATTGGGCATAGACGCGACCCATATAGGACAAATATTTTGTGCTACTGGGGTACCTACTGCTACTTCTGATGAGTATAAATTGGTTCTTACTCCTACTTTTTAGCTTAACTGAAATAGCCATTATTTGTTAGAAATCTTTTATAATATAATATTTTACTAAAACGGTTTTTTATCACTTACCAGAAATAAGCAATAATATTTTCAAATAGATTTACTAGACAAGTTGTTTTTAACTATAAAGAAGCAGTATAATATTAGACAATTTAGACATTACCGAAACATGTTTATTTATAATTAAATCTTTTGTTGTCTCCCATTTATTACAACTGTTCATACCACAAGAATATTTTTGGAATATGCATGAAACGTTATTCTTGAAACTAAAAAACAAACGCTTTTGTCTTGGACCAGATTGTGCGTAGTCTGTAGCGTAACGAGGACTTGAACATGAATTTCAGCACGGAAGTTATGAAACGGGCCTTTCAGCGGAGGTATTAGAGTGGAACAGACAGGGCGGCGGCGGCGGCGGCGGCGGCAGGAGCGGGGATCCATTTTAAAAGGTGCGCGGCGCGCGAGGGTTGTGAGATGCCCGGGGCCCGTCACCGCAGACAGCCTCTGTTTCGCTAAACAGACCATTAACGTTATTATTATTAAACTGAACGGTTTTTACGCATCAAAGCGTGGTTTGCAATGTTACGTTAAAGTTTTAAAGTTTAATCTGCGGTTTGTTACCTTTATTTTATTTGTGTAAATCATACATTTGAGACCTGTCATAGCAAAACCGACAATCTCCACTTTTGGTCAAAAATTAGATTTTGGCGGAGACTGTACTTCAACTAATTATCTATAAGATGATAAAGTTTATGGGCTGCAAAAGGAGCTAAATCCTACCTAAATCCTATTTTAAAAATGACATTTAGTGCAAAGTCGACAATCTCCACTGATAGATTTGCAGCAAAGTATACAATCTCCAATTCCACCATTAGAAATTAATAATTTGTGTCACCTGATATCCTAACATTTTTGATGTTATAACGTATTTTAGATAATTAATTTTGTGTTTTTTACTGCTACATACTGTTAAGTTCTATTGCAGTTAATCACACTTAAAAATATATTTAAAATAGGTATATATACGTTTTATTGTTTTAAGAATTATAAAAAAAGTTATCTTGTTTATTTTGTGCTAATATACCAAAATAAGACGTAAAGGTAAAGCAAGAAAAGGCTGATAATGTCAAAACATTGCAAGTAAAACATTACGGAGCAAAGTGGGAAGAAGATAATGAGTTGTACTATAAAAAAAATTTTTGCACGAGGCAACCTGGTCCCAGATTTAGAAGAAACTCCAGATTTATGTGGTCCATTTCAGAATTTTCCCACATTGATTGTATAGTTAAATTTTATACCCATTAAAGGAATAAAAAACAATTATTTTTTTGTTTATTTTTCTAAATCTCCTTAAACGTTTACAACAAAATCAGCAATCTCCAGCAATTCATATCAAAGTCAGCAATCTCCAATTTATAATTGGACGCCTTTCTGCAGAAAGGAACCAACCCACAAAACCAAAAAAATCGAGATATTTAGCCTATGAACTAATAAAGTATTTATAATTTATCTGCAAAATAGGTCATAGCCAAAATGCAAGTGTAGTGAAATCTATTAATCATTGAACCAACCAACATTCAATAATAGTGTGGATTACTAATCCAGAATTAGAATCTGTAGAATATCTGCAAGTGGGTTGGATCTTTTTTGTAAAAAAGATGGCTGGTAGACCCACTACCAAAGTCTTTAAAGATTTCCTGCTTCTGCAAAATATAAAGTCTTGATGCATTTTTTTGGTAGCTTACAAGATGAGGTGGGGTTGGAAGATGATGTGGACGAATTTCAAATAGAATCAAAATTAATTCATATTACCATTATAATAGTAATATCAGTTGTATTTTGTTAGGAAATAAATAATTGTCGCTTTTCTTTAAATACATACATACATCAGATAGTAGTTTTCATAAATTGCAGAAAGGAACCAACCAACAAAAGCCCATTTTTTACGTCACCCTTACACATAACATCACAAAATCCACCTGATGAAATTATTAAATTATATCCCTTAAACCTCCGTAAGTCCAAAATCGGCATAAAATTAACAGGTAATTTTAAAATTATTAAAATCTTTGATAGCTTTTTTCTCAGTTTCATCATGGTGTGGGTTGGTCCCATTCTGCAGAAAGCCGTCCAATTATAGATTTCACCTATACTATGCATCCTGGAGACCTTGTAGTTGGCTACTAGACTAACAACAACAATATGTCAATATAATATATAAAAAAAATTACAAATCTAGAATTTAAAATACCAAAATCAATTATCACAATTTACTCAGTTTTAGTCTGATGGGAGATTGTTGACTATGCTCTGACAGGCCTCATTTATGGTCCCAATGTGTGGAACACAAATTTCGGTAATAAAAATAAAAAAAGTATTAAAACAAAATTTTCATTCAATTTAGTTATTATTATGATGAAAAGTGAGTCTTTTTGTGCCGAGCTCAAAGTTTGAAGGCCGACTCACATAATCTTCGGCCTAAACTCGAAAAGTGAATATAACAAAGTGAAAATTGGTTAGTTAAGGTTTTTAGGGTCGCTGATCACTAATTTTATATTAAAATTACTAAATTTATCGCTCAGAAAATGTTAATTTTTAAGTTTTTGGGGTCGCTGATGACGAATTTGATATCAAAATTATCAAATTCAAAATGGCGAACCAAAAGTTGTGGAATTTAAAAAATATATATATTTTATTGCCCTGGAAATCTTTATTATTGGGTTTTTGGGGTCGCTGATCGAGAATTTAATATCAAAATTATCAAATTTAATATGGCGGACTAAAATGACGGGCTTTTTTGAATAAAAATAGTTTGTTGGCCAGAAAAGGTTCATTATTGGGGTTTTGGGGTCTCTAATCACGAATTTCATTTTAAAATTATCAAATTTAAAATGGCTGACCATGTTTCTTTTAAACTAATATTTTTTATTTTAATTTAAACATTACAAATTTTTGAAAGAATTAAATTGTTTTAATATTTTAAAGAAATCAACTTTTATTTAAACAGAGTAGGTACCTACCTAAATGCAATTTAAAAATAAAAGTCAAGTTCTTTATATTTTAATAAATTTGCTTTTTCCTATTAAATAAAGTAATTTATTTTTTTAGAAATGTTATTTTAAATAAAATAATATTATTTTTAAATTTAATAAATATATATTATTTCTTGAATTAAAACATTTTTTTTCTATGTTCATTTTAAAAAAAATAAAAGGTCATTTTTAAAATAGTTGTGTCTTTTAGTTATCCTATAATAAAATCTTAAAAAATATATTTACTTAGCGTCACTGCGACAAGTCGCGACTACTAAAATCGGGACGCGGGAGTGTTTATTGTGGTTTTATTAATTTTCGGGCAATTTAGTGCAGTCGATTTTTTAAGAATCTAATAATAGATAGTTTAATAAACGTTTTCCTGTAAAAACCATATTTCGAAAAAAATTGAAGATTGCAAAAAAAAGTTAGTTTTTCTTGTCGCCTCACCCGCCCCAGGCCCCCATATTTAAGATAATTCAAATTAAAGTGATGCAATTTATTATCCACTATATTTTATCGACAAATTTAAAATTTTATTTAAAAAATCCAAATATTAGGTTTTTTTACAAAATTCTTTCAATTTTGGAATGGTTGTACTATTTAAAGTGATCACTGATGATCTAGGTACTTGCCCTATCCCAAATTCTAGAAATATTTTTTGTAATGAATAATTAAAAAAGAAAGTAAAATAATTTAGTCCAGGCATGGACAATAAAATTATAAATGGTTTATAAACCGTTAATAGTTATTTACGTGTCAAGCTTTGTAAATGAATCTTTACGAGCAAGCTGGAAGTTTGTGGGGTGAGCGACGCAGGAGCGAACCCCATAATCCAGTGAGCTTAGTAAAGATTAATTTCAAAGCGTGACACGTACAAACTTTTATTTTCACCTTTAGATAACGATTTTTCAATTTAAAATTTTAATTAATAAGTTAAATGTGGCATTTCATTTCATAAATTGCTTTTCTACAAGCCTGTAAAACTTTACAGGTCTTTTATATAAGCCCATAAAATATTACCTATTAACCTATAAAATGTCATTTACTAAGAATGTGGAAATAAATAAATTGTTAATTTTGCTAATACATTAAAATTTATTAAAACATATTTTCCATGATTTTTCCGGCCTAGGCTCAGGCCAAATTTATTAATTGATTTTTGTTTTATTCATTAATTATTTCCTAATGTAATTTGGGTGTAAATCCATCAATGAAAATTCGAAAGAAAATGAAATATTCTTACCGTGAACCGCCTGCACCAGACGGAAAGCCATCGGATGTCTCTGATCCTTTTACCGTTCGGCAGACGTAAAATAACGTCCGTGTTGTTGTAAGCTGATAGCTGCGGGGGATCCCTGAAACAAAACGGACAATTATTGCTTTCTGCCTCCTTAAGCCCTGCCCCGTCCCCGCACTTTTTTCCTCTTTCTAAAGCACATTACGCTCGGAAGAAACAATTCTTAACGGGCATTATCCGAGATTTGCCATTTCATCCGTAAATTGCCCAAAATCGATCAACTGATCGTCGTGCCGCCTGCTTTCGTCGCTAAAACACGATCGAACAAATTTCGTTGCGATTTTAACGAGACTTTTCATCATCCAGTAATTAAATGGAGTTTAATAGTTCTTTTTACTATCGTAGAACTGCTTCTAAGGGGTCTACACTGTTTAAAATATCTGTGGTGTAAAAAGTAATCTTAAAATGGTGTGAAAATTCAACACCATGAATTATGGTTGAAAATGTGTACCGATCGCGGCAAAGGCGGTGTGGATCACGTGATGTTCTTAAATCTCGCCTCTGTTGACTTACATGGAGAGTATATAAGCTCAGGTAGTCCTTTGCTTTGGTGTGACACTACAAGTTGTTCGATACTAAAGAGACCTTAAATAGGTGGAAACAGCTGTCAATACTTGAAGTATTTTAAGTTGGTGGAACGCACTAAAAACATTATCTCTAGCGAGTTGAAGGTTCAATTTTCTGGAATAATACCACTGGTAATATACTTGTAATGCGTCAAGGAAGTTCCTAGACATGATACAAATCAGTATTTTTTTGGAACAGGTACCTCACATAACAGGTCCAAGTCCATACCTGTTCCAAATACCTGTTATTTTAATACCTAGTATTTTATAAAATACTTTGTGTAGGTATCTAGTATGTTATAATATACTAGGTGTACCTAGTATTTTATAAAATACTAGGTGTACCTATTTTATAAAATACCAGGTGTACCTAGTATTTTATAAAATACTAGGTGTACCTATTTTATAAAATACCAGGTACACTTAGTATTTTATAAAACACACCTAGTATTTTATAAAATACTAGGTGTAACTAGTATTTTATAGAATCGATACCTATTACAGACTGTTATTTGCTTATACCTGTTACAAAACACCTGTTCCTAGTATTTTGTATCATATAAAATGAAAAAAAAGGAACAGGAAGTTCCTTGTAGAGATATCTCTACAAGGAACTTCCTGTTTCCTTTTTTTTCCTTTTTTTCTGTGTAGTATGATTTAATTTGTCCACAAACACATAATATTTAACACTGAAAAGGAGTTCAATTTACACCAAGTAAAATTTATTTTAATACTGTGTGAAAGTTAAATTAACACCATTTTAGTATTTGAATGTACACCGGACCAACGAACCTTATTTAACACCATTTTGGTTTGTATCGACATAGACCATGTTTGGTGTTAATTTGGTGTTAAAATGGTCACGAAATTTTGAACAGTGTATAATAAAACTCTACTCTCTAAAAATGAAACAGTGGATTTTCACTGATTGACAGTGCATATCAACTATTTGCCGCAGTGATAAGTATACCACTAGCAATTAGTGAATACTCACTTTTTCATTTAGCGATTTCTTTGCACTAATTTATTTAGTGGAAATTACACTGTACAAATTAGTGAAATAGGTTTAGTTCAAAAAAGTTAAAATTTCACTATTTTATGTCGAGAGTTCCGGAAAAGTAGTGATAATAAAAAACACTAATTTGGAGAAGTTAAAACTTCACTAATTTATATTGAAAAACACTAATTTTACAGTGAATAATAACTCACTGACGGAAATAGTGAAAATTTCACTGTATCACTTTTAGAGAGTAGTGCTTGTTACAAGACTGAAATGCCTTCCATTGATGGTCCAATGACTAATGCACCATACCCACCAACACTGTCAGACAGCCTGTTTCGACCTGTTGGGTCTCATCAGTGACCAGGACAGCGGCGAGATGTATCGGCAAGTCAATCTGGAGACATCCACCATCTAAAGACGTGGCCTCGCTGTGCGGCGTGCAATCACAATGCATTTAGACACACACAGTGGTAGGTTTTTATATTTATTGTTAGTGTATATTTTTATATTTATTGTACTTGCTAAGTAATAATTATTTATGTCATTAGGTTACTCTAAGCTCAAAAAGGCACTTCTTGGCCGAATGGCATACAACATTTTATCTTCAAAGCACTTTATATAGGTCAATTTAATTCAACATCAAAGCGGCCTAACCTCACTTTTTTATAATCTCATTTATTTATTAGCTAAAGATTACATTAAATGTACAATAATTATTATTGCTTTCTATAGAAGCAGTAATAGTTTGACAATACCTAGCAACATGATTTAAGTAGAAATGGATTGAATTCAATCTATCTAATTTCAATTTGTTTGGATTTTTATTTAAAAAATATATAGTTTGGAATGTTTAAGCTGTGTTTAACATTTAATTTCACTGAAAACTTAAAGCAAATTAAAACCTAAAGATAATTTAAATCGTAGAAAAAGAATCGTGCGTTTTCTTGGTTGCCTAACCTCACTTTTTGTTTTATTATTCATATTTAATTTTACAATAATTTTATAAAAAATATTAAACATTAACAGTAAAACAAACAAATTAGTGCTTATTATAAATAAATTAAACCAGTTTAGTACGTTAATTTCTTAGAAAAGGATTAATTTGTCAAAACAATACCCCTAGCGAGAAAAAATCGAACTAATTACTTGCCTCATAAAAATTTTTATCGGCCTAGGCCATAACAAGGTATTTCTTTATCGAATGTTGACAACAATAAAGTTTAAATTATAGACCGCGTGGAGATAAAGATGATTATGATTATTATTATTATTATTATTAAATTGAAACCCAATTTATATTACAAGTGAACTATTAACAAACAGAATACAATTAATAAACACTTAATTAAATTAGCTGAAGAGTATAACAGGGGATGGTATATTAAAGAAGGTATCTTTGTAATACAGTGTAGTGAATGTATAAGGAGGGTTGTTGTGCAACTCCTACCGAGTTTCCTATCTATGGTTGCCTCATACAGTAGCACGAGTTTAGTATAGCACAAAGGAGCTGCCAAGCGAGAGCGGACACGCCAAAGCACGAGAAGGAGATATCATTAAGGCAGATTAAATTCCCGACGTAATAAACGATATTGAAAGTTTGAAACATCCTATATAATCATGCAGCCGCAACTCCTCTGTGTTCGGTAACTGATGACATGGCAACTTGGGAATATTGGGACCCGAACGCTACGCTGCGTAGCGCTACGGGCAATGTTCTTTCAGAAATAACCCCTCAATATAACGGCGGCCAGGCGTACAGGGCCGGATTTGTAAACCGTGACGCCCTAGGCGAGATTTTTACCACGCCGAATTAACACTTCAAATTGTGTTATTATCTTTATATTTTTAAGGTTCTAAAATATGTTTCGTGAATAATTACGAAACATATTTTAGATATAGAGAACACAAGGTATCTTTTACGTCAACAAATCACCGCTTTATATGTCAATTTTAAGCACTTTGATTGGTTGACGCTAGACGTAAGCCCTAAATGATACATTCTTCGACAATTGTAGAACGAGCCACTTTAGCATTTATTAGATAATTGTTAAAAGATTAAAGTTTAGCACTTTAATGATGTTTTAACAGAAATTTGTATTAAAAATTTATCGACTATCATTTAAATGACTCTTTACAAATTTAAACCGATAATTTTGTAGAATAAAATTTTAAATCAAAAATTTTAAAAATCATTACTTTAAACATAAACATGTCAATTTTATATATATATTTAAATATTTTTTAATTATCAATTGTTTTGAGTTTAAAAAATTAACTTTTATTTTGGTATGGAATGTTTTATATGTGTTTTTTTTTAAATCTCGACACTGTTTTTAAATAGTAAAAAATTAAACTTTACCAATTAATCTAAATAATTTTATTAAATATTTATTTAATTTTCTAAATAAATTATTTTTATTAAAAAATGATGGTTAGAAATTTTTGCAAAGATTAATTGGAAATAATATTGTTTAATACAGAAGTGAACTGTTAGTAAATTTTGTCTTTCAAAATATAATTAAATTTTTACTTGGGAAAATTGTAAAACAATAAAATTCTAAATTAAAAAAATATTTTATAAATGCTAAAATGGCTTTCCATAGACAAGTGTTTGAAAATTTGCTTGTTCCGTTGGTTCATAAACAGCTTTAATCAGTGAAAACATTAACAAAGTGAAATAAATCATATTGAGAAATCGTCGTATAAGTTTTAAAGAAATGGACCTGGACGTCAAGATTTCCCAGGAGCTGAATTTTCCACATTTTTTTCAAAAAATATTTTTTAGGTTTTTTGTTCATCTAATAGTTGAGATAGTTGATATTACTAAGAAAGGCTTAAGTTAAAATTCGTACTCTCTTAAAATGAAATAGTCAAAATTCTACTATTTAAATTAGTACCAGCATTTTTGCCAATAAAATAGTCATTTTCACTTTTAAATAGTTATTTTTTACTACTTAAATAGTTGAAGTTTGACTAATTTAAGATTAGTCATCATTTTTGACCATTTCTGAGAGTTAAAAGTAACTAATTTCTTTAATCGTTTGCGGCCAACAACAAAGTATTATTTGAATGAAATGCATATAGACGCCATGGTTAAATTGCCCATAAAACAAACAAATATGCAAAAAGTTTAGCTCAAAACAGCAACACAAATATTATATTCAAGTTTAAAATATTTATTGACAAATAAAATTGGTTTTTATAAAAGAGACTGGTAGCCACATTGGTTATGACAACAGCTTGACAAGTGACAGACCTGAGTTCAATCCCCGACTGAGTCAAAACTTTTTTAAATTTAAATTACTAATTTGACTATTTCATTCAGTAGAATGTGACTAATTATTAGTGACTTCTTTTTCGCTATGACAATTAGTCAAATATGACTTAGTTATTTTTGACTAATTTATTTTAAGAGAGTAGGAATGATATATTTAAATTCTGTTATAAATTGACATTCTTCAGACACTTATAACAAGCTTTAGTCAACATCTTTGAGACCATAGACAAATCTTACATAATTTTAAACTCTATTATATAAATAATGATTTTATACTTATCAAAATGTAAAGGTTTAAATGGTAATAATACCAGAAAGTACAATATTTTTTCTTTATAAACATATATTACAAAACAAATTGTGTTTTATTATTAAACATCTTAAAACTCATTTAGTCCAAACTAGTTTTAAAATTTCCGACTTTTTACATATTTTTATGCCGGTACTGCATACGAGAAGGGTGGCTGAATGGGGGTTTGTTGCCTTCTGTCATTCTGCCAAACCTATGGACTGCAACTTTGTAGCTTCAGTGATTCTCTATGTAAGCGGATTTAATGACACAGAGAGAAACTGAAATTTATATATTCGATAGGTCTTTAAAAGCAATTTTCGTAATTGTTTGCCAAAAACGTATGAACCACAATACCAATAAACTGTTATAAATGACAAAGTGTAGTGTACAAGGTATAATTTTAAGCAATATTTTTTATACCTACAAGATTATAGAAAGTTAATAAAATAATTTTAAAATTCCACATGTGTATGACATTTTTTATTCTACAATGTGTTTTTGGTATTAATAATAATAATAATAATTTTATTAATCCAATTGACATAGATAACATTCATATGTATAGGACAAGTCACAGAAATACAATACACGAACTACAAGTAAATATACTCGGAAATACCTAAAAATTTATCCTAAAAACTTATTCAGTTCATTAGGACATTCCTCAATTAAAAACCCTAAAAATCCTTAATATAATTTGGCAAATTGTTAAAAATTTTGATGCCAGAAAAATACTTTTTAAACAAAGAAGTTGTGTGTCTCGGAACACATAATCTTGAGCCACTTCTTGTGGAATATGACTGTTCTTTAGTGTCATTAGGGCAAAGTTTGAAGCGCTTAGTTTTTGGCAAAGGTTATCTATATGGTTCTCCCAGTTTATCTGAGCATCCACTATTAGCCCCAAAAATTTCACCTTTTTCGATATGTTTAAATTAAGGTTATTAAGGTTACTCAATCCACTTAAACGGAGAGAGTAGTATACATTTTCAGTTTTTTTCAGAATTTAAAATAATAGGATTTCTGGTGCACCATTTTTTAAAACTGTTGTTAACCTTATCAACATTTTGTTTAAGTTTCCCAGGATTCGGTGCTGATACCACAATCGATGTATCATCGGCATAAATTGTAAGTTTACCCTTAATAAATTTAGGTAAGTCATTTATATAAATTGAAAATAAAGGAGGACCTAGAACCGAACCCTGAGGAACATCTAGATCATTTTTAAAGTTTTCAGATAAGGAATTGTTAACTTTTACTTTAAACTGCCTATTTGACACATGAGTATATTTGACATTCTTAAAACTGTTTTTATGTTATAAAATAATTTTGACATTCTTTGTGTGTTTTTTCATATTCTCCTCTGATGAGCCGCCAGTGCACTGGTCCAAAACATTTTCTGCCGATTTGGTAAGTTTTGGACATTGGTGTTTTTAGGATTTCAAATATCTTACTCAATTGAAATTTGCCATAATCTAATAGATATATTATATGTTTGATATTATCTGGAGTGATCAAAATTTCTAAACACTCAGTTACGGATTGCACATTAACAGTTTAACCACTGGTCTAATATTAAGCCTCGTAGGAGGATCAGAGAACAGAGCTGTCGGCATCACGATGCCAATTGAGGAAATCAGTTTCCAAATAGACGCAGTCTGCATTACTGGCGGACCATTGTGCCTATTTAAATGTAAATGAGGATGCTATCGCTGCCATTCATCTCCCCTTACCGTTGATTAAATACTCTCGACGAACCCACCCCGTACGTTGGATTTGGACGAGTCAAGCTAAACACTGAACTGTCGACTATTTTTAATCAACCACTAAATGTCTAAATAAAAGTCGAGGATAGGGTCATGCAATAAAATACAAATAAAGGACGATATACACTGTATAAAATATCTGTGGTGTAAAGAGTAATCTTATAACGGTGTCAAAATCCAACACCAAGTGGTTGTTAATATAAACATCATGAATTATGGTTGAAAATGTTATATGCAGCAAATACCAAAACTGTGTTTATCTAAAAATATTTGAGAAGTGCACCTACACAGAAAAAAAGGAATAGTTAATTTAACTATTAATTTAGTTGACCCATAAGTACTTATTTAAATCAACTGTGGGAAGGTTAATACAAGCAAAGATTAGTTTGACAGTAGTAAACCAGATAGTTATTTTATTTTTTTTAAATTGGTTAAATTTACCCAGAAAACTGAAACCAATCCGCTGAATGGTTCAGTTTACTAAATATGTTGTTTGTAAAATACTTACTTCAACCTAAATCACTCTGTGATTAAAACAATTTGCTGTGCATTCCTGGTTGCATAGTATGTACCGATCGCGGCAAAGGCGGTGTGGATCACGTGATGTTCTTAAATCTCGCCTCTGTTGACTTACATGAAGAGTATATAAGCTCAGGTGGTCCTTTGCTTTGGTGTGACACTACAAGTTGTTCGATACTAAAGAGACCTTTAATATGTGGAAACAGCTGTCAATACTTAAAGTATTTTAAGTTGGTGGAAAGCACTAAAAACATTATCTCTAGCGAGTTGAAGGTTCAATTTCCTGGAATAATACCACTGGTAATATACTAGAAATGCGTGAAGGAACTTCCTGTTTCCTTTTTTTCTCTTTTTTCTGTGTAGTAACACCATTTTGGTTTGTATCGATATAGACCATGATACATGTATCTGATACCATGATCTTTGTATCATGGATATAGACCATGTATTGTGTTAATTTGGTGTTAAAATGGTCATGAAATTTTGAACAGTGTATCACCATATTTTAATTTAAATTTAAGCCCTAATCTCGATAAATTTAAACAACAAACTTCTAAAGAAGTAACATAGTCTATACAAACTATTTTTTAGCAGAACGCAACAAATGCATCTGGGAATATCGCCCTTCAAATCAGTATTTCCCTTCTGAGGGTGGCAACAGTGATAAAGCAGTCGGCACTCTATTCAAACAAGCAACGGATACGGATATTACTATAACGATAATTGGGGATCCACCGTTAAATATTTGTGTACACCCCTTTGCACCCTTGGGGAATTTTATGACTTTTCCATGAAGATGGACTCGTTAATGAACCTCCCGGAATATTGAGTTCGTAATTGATATATGAGGATTTAAATTAATTTAAATTGGGTAAGAAAGTTATGGGATTAAATTAATGCTATTATTGCTTTTGGTTTTGGGTCTTATATATGTAAATTTTTCATAGGTTTGTAATATACCAAAATACCATCTTTAAAAAACTAATGTGGAAATGTGGGAGCATTTAAATAGGACTATTTGTACTATGGGTGACATTTTATTCATTCTAAGATATATCTAAATTTAAATTACTTTAAACTTTGAAATATCTCAGTTATTTTAGTAATTTTTTTATTTATTTTATAGTATGTATATTCAATCTCCTTAATTACAAAAATTTAGGTACCTTTTATCTACATACTTTTTAGAGTTCAATCTGTAGGTAGGGAGAAAAGCCTTGTTGGTAGCCATAGCTACTGTAATCGGCTTATAATGTTGGCAATGATGCCTTTAAGCTGTTTAATGAAAGAAAGAAAATATTTCTGGCGGTCTGCCCAAGTGGAACAGAGACGGAACATTTCGTTGCTATGATAACTTTAAGGAAATTAACTTTGGATATTGAAAAACGCCCTGTTACAAGACGAATATTGTCAATTAATGTTAAATATGTCTACGTATTTATACATTAAACGTTTATATTAAAAGGAGAATTCTTTGAATAACCAAGAAATAAATCTGCAACATTTGGAAAAAAAACTAGATATGTCAAAAATCACTTTTTAGGGAACGATTTATTTAACCATTTACACCACATTTTGACTTAACTACTTTAAGACGATGTCTAATATGCCATTATCGATTGCCCAGTGTACTCTTCTTATTTTGGCAAAAATCAATCAGTGCAGAAATAGTTTTTTATCCTTCATTTTTTTGTTTATGTCATAAGTATGTCATAAGCTATATAAAAGGCTCGATATTAAAAACTAAAAACATAATATAAAACCAAATGATGTATGTTGTCTTACCTTCCACTGCCATAATCTTCTGGATATGGAATTATTATTCCATCTGGACTGGGACGTGGTGAGTTACCTATCCAGAAAAAAGCGTCTGGTCCTGTACCATCGTAGGAGAATCCCTTGACAAAAATTGTACTTTCGTCCACTGCGTAAGCAGTACCTTTTACTCCATGAGCGAATTTCGTGAGTTCCCCTATTTTTCTTCCATAATATGGTTCCGGGGGTTTAACGCAAGAAACTAAAACAATGAGAAGTTGTATTTTAAATATTTTAAATTAAATTCGGGTACAAACATTTTTAAATTAAGAATATACAGTGTGTCTAGTTAAGTTGGTGAAAAAAAAATAAGTCTTCATAGAAAGTTCTGCATATTCTAAAATCTAAAATCAATCATCAGATATAACAATTTTTTAGTCGTATACGCGGTTTGTCAAAAAATATAAATCTTACTCGAGAGTAAAGTACCTTTATATTTGACAATATCGAAAATTCTTATAAAAAAAAGTTGATCAGAACTAAAAACTACGTTAAAATATGCAATTAAATGAAAAAAATCATTTTTTTCTTTTTTGTTTACAAGAACAATGCACTGACAAACAAATGATTTGTTGACAGCAAGAAAAGTTTGACATTGAATGTCAAAACATCAGAATTGCTTATTACTTTGCTCATTACTTTCTGAACGGAACGGAAAGGTTATCATGTTTGTAATAAATAAAAAAGATAAATGTTGGGTATCGGTAATTCCGAACAACTTTTCATAATTACAGTTTTCGATATTGTCATAAATAAAGGTACTATACTCTTGTACCAAATTCATATTTTTTGTCAAACTTCGTATATGACTAAAAAAATTTAATATCTGATTATTTTATTTTAGATTTTAGAACATGCAGAACTTTATAAAGAATAACTTTTCTTCGTAAAATTAATAATAAGAAAGTTGTATAACATTTTAATATCATGTAAAAAAAATACGTAGGTATAATTTATACTTAGATATTAGGATACATATAAAAAATCTTATAATAAAATAATAAACAATTATAAATATAAATTTTATAGAAAAAAATAGGTTCGATTGACTAGATGAGAGTTTTATACTAAAGTTAGTTAGCCATGGCCATTCAATATTACATATAGGTAAGTACCGTTTTTTTTATTTTTGGTGTATACAGCTAATGCATTATAGTAGCATTCGGTTTTAGTCAGGGAATAATTCACACGGTGGCAGAAAATATTCAGTCGCCCACTCACCGGCGTTGTGTCTAACTCCGTTGTGAATTTTTAAAACGCTTTACGTTTAGTTATAATTCAGATACTTCAAATGTAACCTAGTCACTTTTAAAAGTAATTATTATTATGTTTGAATTTATCTAAAATGTGTTTTCTTATTTTTTAAATTCTCTTAAAGATACTGTATATATACTATATATAGTAGGAACATTTTACGAAAAACTAAACGTCTTATTTTCTTTTTATTTTAGTTTTAATAGTATATTATGTATCAAGTTTGATAAACGCCATTTTAGGCACAAGCGAGCTTGCGAGCGAGTGCTTAAATAAATGAGTGTCTAGAAAAGTTTATAAACGAGTTACATACCTACCATACTTTTTCTACGACAAATACTTATTATTCTAAAAATAATTTAAATTAAATATTTTTATAGAGCGACATCTATAAAACGGTAGAGTAACCAACTTGAGAAAAGTAAATAAAAGTTAAATCTAGTTTACTGCCGGCGAAATTAAAATGTCAGTATAATGTTCATATAAACTTTTCAAATATTGAGAACTATTTAATACTTTTGTATTTTTGTATTAAGATAATAAAATAATTTTCACTTCAGCCCGTGACTAAAGCCACAACTTCAATCAATGTGTATTTAAAAGGTCACTTAGTGCCCTGGAAATATGTACAATAGGGTGGAGTGAATTTTTTTAAATTTATTAATTGATTTTTCCTATATTATTAATTGTTGACTAAAGGCGTAAAATGAATAAATATCGAAAAAATATTCCAATTTTTTAATATCTTGAGGTGGCGCATCAGTCTCGAAGTTTTGAAAATTCTAAAAAAATATTACTTCAATCAAAGTAATAAAAATAGCATTATTTATAAATAAAAAGTTTATTTTAGTAAAATTAACGTGAAACGTAAACATATTTAATAGTAAATAATAAGCTTTAAGTAACTTCAGGAGTGTTTATTGGTAGAAATGAGATCTTCTTTTTCGCGAAAATACTGACATTTGGTATCAAAATTTGGTAATTATTTTCTGGATCTTTGTTAGCTATAGCTAATATTTATCCCGAAAACCTATTACTTGCTATGTTACCTACAATATATCTATCGATCAGAGAACTAGCATTGCCTAAAATATTAAAGGCGAGAAAAGAATCAAAAAGTTCGATATTACGGGAATTAAAGCTTCCACAACTAAATACTGAAGCATTACATTTGTACGAGTTAATTCACTGGGCGACAGAAAAGGTGACTGAACCACCTATGACTATGAAATACGATGACAGAAATTACCGATATGATTTCTTCGGGTGAACATTTCCTATATTTCCAAAAAATTTCGTGTCACACCCAAGCAGTGAAACGCTGTGTAAAACTGGTTATAACCAGTATACTGAATCTTCAGTCTCGGTTTGTGGATCGAAAGCAAGAGATGGTTTCATCAGAACAATAATTAAAGTCAGAAAATAATTACCAAATTTTGATACCAAATGTCAGTATTTTCGCGAAAAAGAAGACCTCATTTCTATCAATAAACACTCCTGAAGTTACTTAAAGCATATGATTTACTATTAAATATGTTTACGTTTCACGTTAATTTTACTAAAATAAACTTTTTATTTATAAATAATGCTATTTTTATTACTTTGATTGAAGTAATATTTTTTTAGAATTTTCAAAACTTCGAGACTGATGCGCCACCTCAAGATATTAAAAAATTGGAATATTTTTTCGATATTTATTCATTTTACGCCTTTGGTCAACAATTAATAATATAGGAAAAATCAATTAATAAATTTATAAAAATTCACTCCACCCTAATGTACAATGATGGCTGTTTCAAAGGTTGGAGTAAAAAAAATATATTTAACAAACAAAACCAAATTAAATTGTAAGATCCGCCACGAAAAGCAAACACACATATTCAGTTTAAAACTTTCCAACAAAATGAAATATAAGCCGAAATAAGATATAAAAATACATAAAGGGAGCTTATATTTAGTGTTTAAATGGAAGATAGAGAGTCTAAATAGCAGAGTAGGATATTTGAGAGATGCGAGAGAGCGAAGAGCCATGGAGCACAGTGGCATCGAATTCCAAGTTGAAAGTCAACATATAACCACAGCAGCTTTGGTAAACACTAATATAGACTTCACTGCAAGGCAAATCAAAGTTGAAAACTTGTTGAAAAGGGATATATATTCTCTATGCCATTGCCGCCGCTGCTTTTGCTTTGCCCGGGACTTAATATACTAACATCAGTATTAAATGCTACTTTATGACTACTATTATACACTTAAAACTTTGCGCCAACCCAAAATTACGCGTTCAGACGAAATTGTTCTTGTTGTAATATATGCCTTGTGGGCGTATGTTTGCACAAAGCATAGTCGTGATGACAAACTTTAGATTTCTAAAAAAGAAAAAATGCAGAAAAAATCTTTTTGATAATAAAAAAATTATTTTAATTAAAAAATAGTATATTATTTATCAAGTTTCATAAACGCCATTTTAGTCACGAATTTAATTTAGGCACGAGCAAGCTTGCAAGCGAGTGCTTAATTAAATGAGTGTCTATAAATGTTTATAAACGAGTTGCATACTATAGTTTTTCAATCTAAAAATTATTTAAGTTAAATATTTGTATAAAGCGACATCTACACAAAAATAGTAAAAACTAAAAGGTCAGTACAATGTTCATATAAAGTATTGGCGTTAAGAAACTATTTAATACTTTTGTATTTTTGTATTGATATAATGAAATATGTTTTTCTTTTAGTAATATTTTACAAGATAGTCCGTGACTAAGAACCCGTGACTAAAACGCCATAAAGCCGCAAATTGTCAATTTGTATTTAAAAGGTCACTTAGTGTCATGCAAACATGAACGATAATGTCAAATTAAAAAAAAATAATTTAAAATTATTTTAATTTGACTGCCTAGCTATTTGTGTGTATTTTGCAAGGCTAGCCTTAGAAACACCTACTTGCTGGTCCCTATGAAGACGGTAAAATTTAATATAATCGTTGTGTAAAAAGAACATATTTTTAATTTCTCATTTTGTATTTTATACATTGTATACATTTTAAGTAAATAATTATTGGTTTAAATTAGCAATTACCATTTTTAATTACATGTGAAACACGAATTGTAATTTCCCATTATATTTTATTTTTACGTTTTCAGAATATGAATGGAAATCCCATGGTATTACTAGATTTTTGCAATATATCTTTAGATCATTCTTATTACAATACAAGGTCTAACTAACAATATGATTAAATGATTATAAAATGAGTTACATATTTGGAAACTACGCATACGAGTTTGTCATTAAAAAATTTGCTCTTCGTTTTAAACTTTTTTTGAACTTATCTGGTCCATTTTTAATAACTAAGCTCAGCTTCAGTTTTATTGATGCGGCTATGATTGGAGATTAGATTAGGAGGGTTTATTAAATACTTATATATCAATATTAATTTTTGTCTAATGTTCTTATCATTTGAGTGATTTCAGTTTTTTGTATAATAAAAAATTACAATAATCATTTTGTAATTGGACAATAAAGTATTGTTTTTCTTCTTCCACCTTTAAAACGCCCTTTGACCTTTTAAATACACATTGACAAGTTGTGGCTTTATGGCGCTTTAGTCAAGGGCTAAAGCAATAGGTTTTTAGTCACGGGCTGAAGTTAGTTTTAAGTTATTTGACAGTCGTTATACAAAGTGCCTTTCTTGTAAAATAATACTAAACGAGAAAATTATTTTATTATCATAATACAAAAACACAAAAGTATTAAACCCTTTCTTGACGCCAATACTTGAAAAGAACGTTTGTATTGACCTTTTGATTTCGCCGTAGTTAACTAAGGATAAAATATTTTCTTAACATAATCATATTTTGAAGTTATTTTAATATTTTAAAGTATTAATAATTGTTAGGTTTAATTACTTAATACATAATATACTATTAAACTCAAATATTTTATAAT